TTTGAGATATTGGTGGTAGACGTATTTCCCTCGGACTTTTAAGCCCTGCTCTACCCTATGGTATTTTTTAACAATACTCTTTCAAAGTAAAGGGCAAAAGATGTGAACTAGACATTGCCTAAAATCAGGCGACGTCTCTATCAGAAGATAAAGACCACCTTGTCAATTTTTCAATTTTTTTTTTTGGTTTGAGCAATAATATTTCTTTATAATTTTATATTAATTGTTTTATATATGCTTTATATTGTTATTTTTATGTTAAATTCGATCATTCCTTTTATATAACCTTTAAAAAATACATTTGGTTGGAGGGTTGGACAAAAATGACCAATTGAAATTTTACACAAGCAAATGTTTAAACAATAAAAAACATAAATAAAAGATAAATAATCAATAGTTATTCTAATTCTGATGATGAATACTTTCGACGAATTGTAATACGACGGTTGTATTCAGTGTGATCTTTGAGAAAATGTGTTCATAAAATATATATTTCAAGCAAAAGTTGTATTCACTTTATTTGTAATAATTGTACCTCAATACAATATTCTTATTCTCAACGAGTCTGATTAGGATAAATTAGACGACAGAACCTACCTACCAAACACGATTTTCTATAGTATTAAGTAGTAAGAATAGACAACTTTTTTTATACTTTTTTTTTTTATACTTTAACAATATATACTCAAGTTTTAATTTTAAATTTTATGACCTAACCTAATGATTAATCTGCATTACAATGACTAAAATGTTATCTATCATTCCGTACAACTTTTTTAAATTAAAAATTAATATTGAATTTTTGCTTCTGGGCTGTACCTTCTTACCTCCTCGCCAATAGGTATTAAGGACAAAATTTTAGAAAAATAGCAAAAAGCGTATTTCTACATAATGTTTGATAGGTGTTATTAGTTGTGCTGTAATTGGTTAGGTTTTCTTAGTATAATAACTAAAAGTCAACTTGGATCTTTGTGCCTTGTCCTACCCTAATACTATCAGCTACGATTACAAAAATACTTTGTTTAAACCTATTATCATATAAAATTATATTAATTCTGAATACAATTTAACGAAAATAATGTCTACAAAAATAGTCTAGATAGCATTTAGTATAATTTATATTATGGGCTAATTCTCGATAAATATTTATGTTATATTACCAGAGTCTCTTCAAAAAGCTATTCCTATGATATTTGCTTCGGCGCTTCTCAACTGCTGAAACCTAACCTCCAAATTGCACAAATATCAAAATAAATCAGTTCGAATTCTTGAAACTTGTTACATCACACTGCAATTATATCCTAGAATTCACTAATCAATATTTGTCAATATATTCATATACAAGACTTTCCTTGGTGACTCTTTAAGCATTAAATGTCAAATCCTTTAAATATGATCAAATAATGTCGGCACTGTGAAAAAATATAAACCAATACATCATTCAAACACAAAATAGATATAAAAAAATTTATTGACAAAATTTATTGACAATTTGCATGAATAAATTATCTAATTTTCTCAGTCATATTGCTCGAAGGCGGCCTGAATTTCCTCGCCTCCCAGTTGGTCCCAAATTTCAGGTTCCACTTTTTCGATATGGGTGCGCAAAATATTTTCATCGATTTCGAAAATTAATCGCGATTGAACTGGTTTATGCAGTTCATACACATGAGTCCTTGTAAGATTATCTTTATGAGTTACAATCGTCACTTTATTTCCTTCAACATGTGCGACTATGCACATGTGTTCCATCAATCCAGAATAAAAGAACTGCAAGCAGATTTTACTATTGGTCTGCTGCCATCGGTAAGGAGTGAGCTTGGAAGGTCCATATACATATGACATTGTTGATTATTTATTTGTTTTTAATTAACCAAATTTGATGCACTTAATGATATTTTTTGTAGGCACAAGTGATGGCAGGTATTTGTTTTACACCACAGAATCGACCAATAGCGTTCTTTGATTTGACATATTGTTTATAAAAGTCTGAATATGGTTATTTGTATAGGGTTACCAACTATCAAAAAAAATATTTCCAATATTTTTTTTATTTATAATAAAAAAAATCAAAATTAAGGATATAAGAGGTCCTCTTCTTCAAAAAATTTCGATAAAAATCACAAAAAAATAATACATATAAACACTATTTAATTATCAAAAAACTGGGGAAATTCACTTTTCACTATAATGACACTAAGCAAATATCACGTGACACACAACAATACACTAAACAACAAAACGTACCAAAAAACTATGATTAAAAATACGTCTTTTCTCTTCTGCTTCCAGTTTAAAAATGAAAATCCAATTCATTTTCTTTACAGATTGATTTTATTTTGATGATATGTTCATAATCTGTAATCTTCAGTCCTTTTTTGTATGATTCTATTGCTGTGTGTCTGTTTATAATCAATAATCTTTGTGTGAATATAAACGTCAATTTTGTTTCATAAATTTATGAAATAAAAAATTTTGAGAATCATGTAATGTTCTTGTCTGTTTTTGAATTAATTTTATTTGGAATCAATTTCAAAAAAATTGATGATGCAAACACTTTCTTTTGAAGGTTGTTATTTGAATGTGAAATTTTGGAAAGGAAAAAATCTTAGATTTATAAATATTCTGTAGAGCTTCGAACAGAGAATCCAATAATAATAAAAAATGAAAAAGTTTTTTAAATATGATTTTTATTTATTATCGATGTATCGGAACTAAGTCGACATCTGTCAAGTAACATAATCTTGAGAAGATTTAAACAAACCAAAAACAATATACTCAAAAAAATAAAAATTGTGTTTTTAATAATATTAATTAAATTATGAAAGATGGAAAATTATATTTTTTATACTAAAAATAAAAAAAA